GGCACCAGGAACTGCCGCTGTTATTGGGCCTCGTACCCTGGTACTGTGCAGCTGCTGTGGCCCAGGCCTCATGCCCAGCTGCCCCAGCCCAGCCTTGCACTGCCCGCTCACCGCTTTGGTGAGGGCACACAGGGCCACTGCCATGCTGTTAGGGAAACCAGCYGGTGTCAAGAGAGGCCAGGGGCTGGACAGATTGAGAGCAGCCTTGCCAAGAAGGACTCAGAAATGCTCGTGAATGCAAGGCTGGATGTGAGCCGTCAGTGGGTACTTGAAGCCCAGAAAGCCAAACATTTGAACTGCATCCAAAGCAGCATGGGCAGCAGGGAAGGGAGGGGATTTTGCTCCTCCACAGTGGTGAGGCCCCACCTTAAGTACTGCATCCATTTCTGGGGTCCCTAGCACGGGAAGGACATTGACCTGTTGGAGTGAGTGAGACAAGGCCACCAAGTTGATCAAAGGTATGGAGATCTCTCCCATGAGGAAAGGATTGAGAGAATTGGGATTGTTCAGCCTGGAAACAAAAAGGTTTCAGAGTAACCTAATGGCAGCCTTTCAGTACTTGAAGGGAACTTAGAGTAAGGATGGAAYAAAACTACCGTGAGCATGTAGTGACAGGACAAGGGGGAATGGGTTCAAATTGAAAGAGAGTAGGTTTGGATTAGATACTAGGAAAAATTTTTTTACTGTGAGGTTGGTGAGGACCTGTAATGAGTTGTTCAGGGAAATTGTGACTGTACCATCCCTGAACGTGTTCAAGGCCAGGTTGGATGGGGCTCTGTGCAACTTGGTATCATTGAATGTGTCCCTGCTCACAGCAGGGGGGTTGGAACTAGATGATCTTTAATGTTCCTTCCAACCCAAACTATTCTAAGATTTTATGCTCCACCACCCAGGAGCTACTGTGTCACTTTTGAACCACTTGAGCTGGGACCGGAGCCCCTTGGCAGCTGCACCTCCCACACTCACACAGATCAGATTTACGTTATCAGCTCGGCCATAGGTTTCACACAGCAATGTCTCAGATGTCCCAATCCTTAAAATAATGTAATCATAGTGTAGAAACTAAATAATAAAATAGAAGCTCGAGCTGGGTACCTCTCAGGAGGGACCCCTGGGTTTTTATACCCTCAMAGTCTAGGGACACAGAAGTCTGGAAGCCGTTGGCTCCTGCCATGTCTTCGTGTGTCCATCTCCTGGCCAGGCTGCAGGTGCCCTGGTCCTTTGTTATGCAAAGGGTCAGCAGTTTGTGGCCTCTTGCATGGGCTCTCCTGTCTGCCCAGAGCTGAGTGTGGAGCTAGAGCTCCAGCTGCACCCACCTGGAGCTGCTAGCACTGAATGGGTTCCTCAAAAACCATCCCAGTCGCAGGCTGCCCCCAGGGCCCAGCACAGTTCCCCTCAGCGGGGCCCAGGGCACAGGCCCCGCTCGCTGAGCTGGTGCTGCTGCAGGGGCAGCCCGGGGGGATGGTCAGGCCTTTCCCTCGCAGGGCAGCACCAGTAACTCCCCATGGCCGTGTGCTCAAACAAAGCCAGGGACAGCTGTCCTCAGAGTTAACGAATACAAACAGCGGAGAATACAGTACACAGTGTGCTGCTGCAGTCAGAGGAACAGCATAGAAACTAAATCTTTTTCACATTGAAGGTTCATTGTGCACCTGTGTTCTCATTTACTCACTGGGTTTAATATCAATCAAATATATGATCAACTGTTCTAGTGCTTTATTGAGTAAAACGTTCCCATTACTTTCAGTGGGATGTTGCAGAACTGCTGGACATGATAGTACACAGGTGGAGCCACGGTTGCTGGAGAAAACCGCCCTGGAGAACAGCACTTCCACGAGCTGYGGTTTCACTCACCTCAGAATTTGCATACGAAAATTTCTGAATCTAAAGGTGATTAAGAAATGCAGTTTCTCTCATGCCTTTTTGTCTATAGTGCAGTCTCACCCTGGCCAACAACTAAGAGTGCTCCCAGGTTTGTATTTGGGATTTTTTCAGTTTTTCTGTCCATTCTACACTAATTAAAAAAAAACCCAAACCAGCAAAAAAACCTCCAACTAAACCGAAAACCCCAACCAACAACAAAAAAAAAATACTAAACAAACAACAGCAAAAAAAAAAAGTAACAAAGAAAACCCAAACAAAAATCCTAAACAAGAAAACGGCAACAAACACAACCAAAGTGTGATCCTTTAATAAAATATGAGAATATTTCTGGTAATTTTTGAAGATAAATAATAAGAAAGTACTTAAACATGTGTAACCTATATCTCAACTTTTTCAGCCCATACGTCTCACAATTTACTGTTGTACTATCTGCCATAGCTGCTTTCAGAAATTCACAGTTTGTTTAGTGTAAATCCTCTCTCAAATATAGGTATTTTTCTCTGTTATATAAGTGAAGTGTCCTTTTCCTTGTAAACTTATCCTCTAAARATTTGAATACTGTGTTTAGTCTGGAAAAGAAGAAGCATCATTTTTCATTATATTCATTTTAACTAATATCTTTTGCCTTGAGATGCTTCCAGAGTAGTTTGGAACCTTAGAGAAGTGAAGAAAAACCCATTAGTAGTTAAATAATTACTGTTTAGTTATTATGCCATTAAATCATTTGGTTATTACAGTTTAGTAGTTTAACAATTACTAAACTGTGCCTGTCTGCCAAAGAAGGAAGGAAAAAGAGAGMAAGAAATAATATTTGTCAGAAAATGGAGCAAAAGGATGTCAACCAGAGTGTGGAACTTACTCTAAGCAGAAGTGACTGGGAAAGTTCATTTACTTGAAACACATACTTTCAACTACTAATTTACCTACTGAGAAATCATTGCAGATGTTTATGTTCCTTCAAAGCAAGATAAACATAAGGATAATATTAAGATTGCAAGGAAAAACATTGAAACATTGTGAAATAACAAAACCAGGATCAACTCTGCACATTTTTGTAATTAAGTTTGTGCTTTCCAATGTGCATGATTGCATACTGTCTGTTCTGCAATATTCTGTTGATATTCTTGGACAAATTGGTTTGAATGTCATGTTTCCAAACCATCCCACAAAGGCATAGGAGCAAACCAAAGTTTATCAAGTGAGAATAAGGATTCATAACACTAAACCATGAATTGATAAAGGATAGTAAACAGTCCCCATAATTACAAAAAAAAAAGCAGAGAAAACTGCGAACATATGATACACTCTAAAGAAAAACTTAGCAGAAGCTGATAGGAGAGAAAATTGTATTTTATGCAGTTGGGCAGCCTGCATGCACTGTTGACTATAGCAGCACACCTAAGCTTGTAAGTTAATTAGTCTGAATTGCTTCATCTATTATTACGTCTACTGGCCTGTGACTCAGTTGCTAAAGAGACATTCCTTTGCCTTCAGRGAAGTATTGATGGCAATCTCTCATCACTTTCTGGGTTTTGTCTTAAAAAACACAATCTGTGCCAGGGAAATTGATTGATTGCCATATTCCTCCATGGTCCAAACTGCTTCTATTGCTTGTTGCAGGTTAAAAAAAACAGGGGGGAAGCACTACTAAACTACTGTGACAAATACACCTAATGATARTATTTTTATTATTATTTTTATTTTAAACTCTGCTAAGCTTCATGTTTTGTCTGGCCATTATTTGAATATGATCCCAGAATCAGCGGGCAATTGTCTAGTCCTGATTTTGTATGCCAGTAAAAAACCTGTARCAGAGTGGGGAAGTCTTGCTCATTAGCACTGTAGTTTGGGTTTGTTTAATTCTGTTTGTTATTCTTTGAGGCACTAGACAGAGATAGCAAGTACCAGCCCGTACGACATTGCAACTGGAGCTGCTGCCAAAACTTCATTAGAATAGATATGTTCAGATGAGAGGCCTGTAACTATGAATACACAAACAGATACTAAATGAACATCTGCAACCAAAACACTATTCCACTATTCAACACATGTATGGTTTACTCACATATTCCATAAGGTACACTTGTAAAATTGATTGCCTTTAGTCTGCTGTGGTTTGTTCCTACAGTATCATACCTTCAGGAATTTGGCACAAGTATAAACATTGAGGGGTGATCTAATCTGTTTATAACATTATTTTGTAATGCTTCTTAGGCATGTAACCTGTTTATCATATCCTTTTTAAGATGATACAAAAAGTCTCAAGTATACAACCCTGAAGAAAGTATAGGCTTCCAGTCTTTAGAAGTATACTTCTGTAAATGAGGAAAAAACCCCAAACCAAACCCCAAACCAAACCATAAATTGCCTTTTTAAACACTTCCAATATACCATTATGGA